GAGTACAGGTTCACAGCATTTGGACAAACGGTGAGATCTTAACCACCAAGTCAAATAGCTAATCCACAGGTGACTGGGGAAGGAAGAGGAAAAAGGTCCTGAGGAATAAACATGCCGTGCGAGGGATTTCAGATTTAATCCCCAGTCTTGTACATGATGTAACCAGTTCTGAGGGGAACATTAAGCTCATGTTTTCTGACTCAGTCTGCTCTGGGCGATGAAATTTTGACCCCACTATGATTAACTCTTAAGTGGCAGAAACAAATGTGTCTATGGGGAGAAGGCTTTGCTCTTCTGAATCCACCTATCCTGCATTTCTTGATAAGCAAAGTTTAAGACGTAGAGGCATCCTTGGTCCATTAATGATTAAAGACGACAATACGCTTCCATGACTCCGGCCATTTCTCTGTGAGGTCTCTAAAATTCTTCCGCTCTGTGGCGATCTTGATACCGTGATCCAACCAAAGAAGCTCTTCTCACGCTTTCTTTCTAAACACACGATCCACTTCTGTAGCACTGAATGTCTTGAGACATACTCCCCAACATAAAGCTGTTTGTAAACCAGACCGGAATGTTATTTTAGGCAAGCCAGTGTATAGCTCCTACCCACAGCATCAGCCTACTTCTGTTTTCAGTACTCACTGTGCTATTGTTTATAAAGCTTTGGATTATGGCTTGAAATCCAGGCCACCCTGAATTTAACAGTGTGACTTTCACCGAGTTCAGCCTGATCTGGATTTCAACCTAAATGCCTAATGTTGCTAATGTGGGATGTGGTAAACTTGATCAACAAGTTTTTTACAGCCACAACAGATGTTCCTTCTTTTAGACCAATGGAAAGCTACCCAACCTCATCCACCCTCTAAAACAAAAATACAAGCATTTGTTTACAGCTTGATTCCAGGAATATGAATTAAATTAGCAGCGGTGAAGTTTGTTCTTGTTTACTTAGACATAAATATATGCACAATTCTCACTTTTCCCAAAGAACTGTGATGATGTCTGGATTGTATTTCCTCTGTTAGTAACAGCATTTTTAACTGTCTAATACTGCATTATGTGTTTATCACAATTGCAATATCAGCATAGTATTTTTGACCTTGTTTTTAAAAAATGCATTTTTTTTTCTTTATGTCCAGTAGATCGCAGCAACATGAGTTGGATATATGTTTTGCATTTTGTAGGTTTATAATTTAGATTGACTATAATAAAACATTCTCACGATCACAACCTAAGGCAGAACTTACAGAAAATGAAACAAGTAAATATAAATGTTTTCTTCCTACTGGGTCATTCAATGAATTTTTGAATGTTCATAGAACATTGAAAGACTGGTGCCTTCTCCTAAGATAGGAGACGAAATGTGATAGGGTAACAACAGTGAACTCAAGCTTCCTAATATAAGGAGCAAAAAAAGTATTGCTTGTTTTGATAGGTACCATTACATCTCTGCTGTAAACATCCAGTCATTCTGCCACACAAACAATTAGCACGTGCCGAGGAGGAGATAGAATAGGGCTTTGTATAAAAGGAATAGAGACTTTGTTTACCATGTATCCATGGCTTATGAATAAAAATACACCCTTTCCTTTGTCTTTCCTAAATTGATCTGATTTCAGGAGTCATGGCACTGTTTTTATTGCAACAGGAAAAAAAGTTCCTGCAGCCTTGCTTTGCCATTAAGGACCCGGGGGTCCTGGTGGACACCAAGCTGAGCATGAGGCACCAATGGGCACTTGCGGCAAAGGAAGCCAAGAGCCCCCTGGGCTGTGCTAGGAAGAGCATTGCCAGCAGGTCGAGGGAGGTGAGCCTTCCTCTCTGCTCAGCCCTGGTGGTGAGGCCACAGCTGGAGTGCTGGGCCCAGGGGAAATACTGGGAGCTACTGGCATGATTCCAGCACAGCGCTGTCACCGGGAAATAAAACTCCCGAAACCAAAATGATTTAGAGAGGAGATATTGCCTTATTCAGCGCTGGGTACAAGACGGAATTCCACAAATCAAGCACGTCAAACTTAGATTTTACTCCCTTATTTATACACCTATCTAATACATATTCACTAGTCTGTCTTCCTTCGCACGCTCATCTTCATTAGTTGACAGTCTAATCGTCTAACTATTAAAGATGTAGCAGTCTTTTAATTCACTGCACCTGCATGTGAGGGTGGTGAAACGCTGGCACAGGTTGACCAGGGAGGTTGTGGAGACTCCATTCCTGGAGATCTTCAGAACCCAGCTGGGCAGCCTGCTCCAGCCGACCCTGCAGTGATGGACTGGATGATGTCTAGAGGTGCCTCCCAAGCTCAACCTTCTGTGACTCTGTGATTCTGTCATCTGTAAATCATCTGTAGATGTGACTTGTAGATCACCTTGTGAAAGTTTGCAGCATACACGAAGGCCATTGAGACTCTCCATGCTGCTAGGACATAGTCCATATCTTATTATCTGGGACACGCTGACGATGAGGAAATCTGCAAAAGGCCATGCATTTTCTCTGTAAAAGAAGGAAAAGGAGTAAGCAAAGATTACATAGTGATTTTTCCTCATCTGCATGAGATAAATGGAAGCACATTCCTCTTTTTGCTTGCTCTATCCTATAATGAACATCTCACACTTTTGCAAGGGGAAAGAGAGATTCCACAACTCAAAGGGTCATTGTAAAATATTAGCA